TCCCAAATCCCCCCTGGAGATCCCAAATCCCCCCAGCAGATCCCAAATCCCCTTGATGGGTACACGTGGGGACAGTCAGGACATCTTTGGGGACAGTCTGGACATCTTTGGGGACAGTTTAGGTACATGTGGGGACAGTCAGGACATTTTTGGGGACAGTCAGGACACCTTTAGGGACAGTCTGGGTACACTCTGGGTACACGTGGGGACAGTCAGGACATTTTTGGGGACAGTCAGGACACCTTTGGGGACAGTCTGGGGCACCCATAGGAACAATCGTGTCCCTGGGGGGACAGGCTGGGTCACTCAAGGGGACAATCGAGGCACCCATGGGGACACTCAGGCCACCCATGGGGCCATCTGTGTCACTCGTGGGGACACTCAGGACACCAGGGAGGTTGGCTGGTCACCTTTGGGGACAGCCAGGCCCTCTGTGGGGACAGCCAGGACACGCACAGGGGTGCCCAGGGCGCCCATGGGCAGGGCTGGGACCGCCGTGGGGACAGCGGGGGCAGCCGCAGGGACAGGGGTGACCCCGTTGGGGACAGGGGTGTCGCCGTTGGGGACAGGCGTGTCCCCAGCTCACCCAGCAGTGCATGAACTGCGAGAAGCTGGAGTCGAAGGTGCGCTGGTGGGCGCCGATGAGGAGCGCGATCAGCTCCTGCTGCTCGGCCGTCAGTCCCTCCTGTCCCTGCTGTCCCCCGGGCTGTCCCCGCTGTCCCCCGGGCTGTCCCCGCTGTCCCCGCAGCTCCCGCCGCCGCCTCAGCGCCTCCTCGGACATGATCACTGCCACCCCGGCCCCGTGTCACCGCTGTCACTGCCGCCACAGGCGGGCACAGCGGGGACAGCGATCGGGGACACCCCAGCGGGTCCCCGCTGTCCCCTCTGTGCCACACTCCCTGCTGCCACCTCTGTCCCCTCCCCTGCCACCCCGCCCAGGCCGCTTCTCCCTGTCCCTTGTGCCCTGCGTGTCCCCTTCTCCCCGCCCGTGTCCCCCGTCCCTGTCCCCGCTGTCCCCGTGCCACGTCCCCTGTGTCCCCCGTGCCCTCCCCCGCCACGTCCCCCTTGTCCCCTGCAGGTCCTCCCTCTGCTGTGCCCCGTGTCCCCCCGGCTGTCCCCCGTGTCACTCACTGTCCCTCCTCATGCCCACGTCGAGGCACTTCTGGAGGCGACACGCCTGGCACTGTCGCCGCTTGGCCTTGGTGACAGGGCAGCGCCGCGCCAGGGGACACGTGAAGCGGACACCTTTGATGATGGAGCGCCTGCGGGGACACGGGGACCGCCACCGTGGGCTGGGGACACTGCCACAGCGGGCTGGGGACACTGCCACTGCCACTGCCACTGCCACCGCGGGCTGGGGACACGGGGACTGCCACAGCGCGCCGGGGACACGGGCAGTGCCACCGCGACAGTATCCCTGGCTGTCCCCGCAGTGTTCCCACAGTGTCCCCGGCTGTCCCCACGCTGTCCCCGCAGTGTCCCCGCAGTATCCCTGGCTGTCCCCGCAGTGTTCCCACAGTGTCCCCGGCTGTCCCCACGCTGTCCCCGCAGTGTCCCCGCAGTATCCCTGGCTGTCCCCGCAGTGTCCCCGCAGTCCCCGGCTGTCCCCGCGCTGTCCCCGCGCTGTCCCCACCTGAAGAAGCCCTTGCAGCCCTCGCAGCTCATGACGTGGAAGTGGTACCCGTTGGCCCTGTCCCCGCACACGGCGCACACTTTGTCCCCGTCGGGCTCCGTGTCCCCAGGGGGGTCCCGGGGGCTTCGCTCCGTGCCCGGGGGGCTCGGCAGGGACACGGCTGGGGACAGGGCGACAGCGGGGGTGACGCACAGTCGCCACCACCACCGGTCCCGTCCCCTCGAGGCCACGGTGTCGCCCTGTCCCGCGACGCTGTCACCCGCGTGAAGCCGCCCGTCCCCGCCACCCGCGGTGCCACCGCCCGCGTGTCCCCGCCGGTCCCGGTCGGTCCCCTCCTGTCCCCGCGTGTCCCCGATGGGGACAAAGTGACCCCGCTGGTCCCTGAATGTCCCCGCTGGTCCTCGCGTGTCCCGCCAGCCCCCGTGCGTTCCCTCCGGTCCCCGCGTGTCCCCTCCTGTCCCCGAGTGTCCTCTCCGGTCCCCTGTGGTCCCCGCGGGTCCCCGTGGCTGGCGGTACCTGAGCCGGTGTCCCCCGGTGCTGTCGGTGAGGGGACATCGGGTCCCCGAGTGTCCCCGGCTGTCCCCGCGTGTCGCTGGCGGTCTCCGTGTGTCCCCTCCATTCCCTGTGTGTCCCCTGCTGTCCCCTGTGTGTCCCCTCCCGGGTGTCCCCGCGTGTCGCCGGCGGTCCCAGGAAGGGCCGCGTGGAGTTTGAACCTTGAACTTGGGGCTGCGACAGGCGGGGACAGAGCGCGGGGCGGAGGGGACACAGGGGACAGGTGGCACCTGGGGTGGCACCTGGGGCGGGACGAGCGGGGACAGCGGGGACACAGGGACAGGCGGGGGACAGCCAGGCACGGAGGGGACAGCCAGGATGTCACAGCCGCGTGCTGAGGGTGGCACCGCGTGCCACACGCTGCCAGCAGCAGAGCCCAGAGGGGACACGGTGGTGGCCGTCCTGCCACCGCTGTCCCCACAGGAATGTCACTGTCGCCATCCCGGGACCCCCGCGCAGCGCCTGTGCCCTGTCCCCAGGTGTCACCGCCACCAGGAGGGTGGCACTCGGGGGGCTCACGGTCACCCCGGTGCCCACACACTCCCCTGTGTCCCCTCGTGTCCCCTGTCCTACCCCTCCATGTCCCCCACGTCCCCAGTGTCCCCCAGGTCCTCAAATCCCCAATGCCCCCAATGTCCCCAATGTCGCCCAGGTCCCCAAAGTCCCCAGTGTCCCCCAAATCCCCAATGTCGCCAGTGTCTCCCCATGTCCCCATGTCCCCAAAGTCCCCAATGTCCCCCAAATCCCCAATGTCTCCAGTGTCCCCAATGTCCCCAATGTCCCCCATTGTCCCCATGTCCCCAGTGTCCCCCCCATGTCCCCAGTGTCCCCCCCATGTCCCCAGTGTCCCCACGTGTGTGTCGCTCCTGGAGCGGGGGGGGGAAGCCACGCTTGTGGGCGTGTCCCTTATCGACCCGCCCCCGCTCCCCATTGGCTGCTCGCGGCTGTCACTCAAACCCCGCCCCTATAAGAGCGGCGGCGGCAGCGCCGGTCCCGCACTCGGCAGCGGCGGCAGCGGGCGGGATGAGCGAGGTGGGGACAGCGGGGACAGCGGGGACACCGGGGACACCGGGGGCAGCGGGGACACCGGGGGGTGCGGGGGGCACCGGAACACACCTTAAAGGGGAATGTGCCCCTTGTCCCGTGGCTTTCAGCACCGGGGAGGGGGCGCTGCGGGGACCCCGGGGACAGTTTGGGGACACCGAACCACCGGTGTCACCTCCCCTGTCCCCCCCGGGCCCTCCTCTCTTCTCAGCGCAGCCCCCGTGAGCCCCACGCTGGCTGGAGGTTGTGGGGACCCCCGGGGACAATGGGGGGGCCTTGGGGACAATGGGGGGGCCCCGGGCACAATGGGGGGGCCCCGGGGACAATGGGGGGGCCCTGGGGACAGCGGAGCCCCTGTGTCACCCCCCGGGTCCCCTCTCTCCGCAGCGCAGCCCCCATGCCCCCCCCTCCGCGGCGGAGGCCCCCGGTGGGCAGCAGCAAGGTGAGGACCCCTGCTGTCCCCGCTGTCCCCAGGGTCCCCTCATTGTCCCTTGCCGGGGGTGGCACCTGGGTGCGTTTGGGGACATGCTCTGTCCTTCCCCGTCCCCTCGGAGGTGTCGCGGTGTCCCCCTGGGAGGGGTCGTGGTGTCCCGTGTCCCCCGGGGGGTGGCAGAGTGTCCCCCTGGGTGTCCCCATGGTCAATCCAGGGGTGCCGGGCTGTCCCGTGTCCCCAAGGGGGTGGCAGGGTGTCCCCCTGGGTGTCCCCATGGTCAATCTGGGAGTGCCAGGCTGTCCCTTGTCCCCAAGGATTGGTGGCAGGGTGTCCCTCTGGATGTCCCCAGGGTGAGTCTGGGAGTGCCGGGCTGTCCCGTGTCCCCAGGGTTGGTGGCAGGGTGTCCCCCTAAGTGTCCCCCTGGGTGTCCCTGCGGTGAATCCGGCGGTCCCCAAGCGTGTCCCCGTGCCGTGTGTCCCCCCCACCCCGGCAGTCAAGGCTGACCCCAAGAAGGAGGAAGAGGAGGAGGAGGAGGAGATCGACATCGACCTGAGCGCGCCCGAGACGGAGCGCGCGGCTCTCGCCATCCAGGGCCGCTTCCGCCGCTCCCGGCAGCGCAAGGAGCCGCCGCGGCCCTGAGGGGTCCCGGGACCCCCGACCCCCGTGGGGACCCCCGCGAGCAGCTCCGGGGGGGGGCTCGGCCCTTCCCTGCCCCGAGCCGGGACCGCGAGTGACACTGGGGGGGGTCTGGGGGGGACACAGCCGGCAGGGGAGGTGGCCCTCGGGAGAGGGGGAGGCGGGGACCCCCCTGGGACGCCCCCGTTTTCCTGAGACCCCCCCGTTTTCCATGGGGCCTCCCCCCCCGTTTTCCATGAGAATCCTCCATTTCCCTGTCCCGTGGTGGCGTTGGGGGCACGCCGGGGGGGGGGACACGACGGTGTCCCCCGGGTCGGGGTGGGGACGGGTCCCGCTGCAGCCCCCAGCCCAGAAAATCGGGGCTCCCCATCCTCCTGTCACTGTCACCGCCCCCTCCCCACCTTTCTGTCACTGTCACCGTCCCCTCCTGTCACTGTCCCCTGTCCCCTCTCCCCCCCCCAACCCGAAGGGCTTTTGCCCCTCGCAAAGAATAAAGTGTGAGGAAGAGGAGGCTGCGCGGGGGCTTCGGGGGAATTTGGGGAGGGGTCCCCACTGGGAGGGACCCCCGCGTCTCCCTTCTTTGGTGGGACCCCTAAATCAGCGGGGGGTCCCTGGGCTGTCCCTCCTGGGGGGGACAGGGGTGACCCCAGGTGTGTGTGGGGGGGGTCTCCCATCTGGGATTTGAAGAATTTCCAGGGAAATTCCCGGGATTTTCTCACCCGCTGCGGCCCCAAAAGGGTTTGGGGGGGGTTAAATCAGGGAGATTTGGGGGGTTCGCAGCCGGATTTTGGGGGGTTCGCAGTGAGGTTTTTGGGGGGGTTCACGGGAGGATTTCGGGGGGCTTCACAGCCGGATTTTGGGGCAGTTCGCAGCCGGATTTGAGGGGTTGACAGGAGGATTTGGGGGGGATTCGCAGCCAGATTTGGGGGCGCCAGCAGCCGGGTTTTCAGTGTTCACAGCCCGGTTTTCGGAGGGGGTTTGCAGCCGGATTTTGGGGGGTCCACAGCCGGGTTTTGGGGGTTCGCAGCCTAATTTTGGGGGAGTTTGCAGGCGGATTTAGAGGGGGTTCATAGCCCGGTTTTCGGGGGAGGTTTGCAGCCGGCTTTTGGGTGTTCACAGCCTAATTTTTGAGGGGGTTCGCAGCCGGGTTTTGGGGGGTTCGCAGCCGGTTTTGGGGGGCTCGGGGGGTTCGAGGGGCCCGGGAATGCCGCGGTCCGGTGCAGAAATAGCTCCTTGGAAAGAAAAACAGCGGCGGCGGCCGCGGGGCAGGGCCCAGGGGACACGGCGGGGTCGGGCTGCGCAGACTTATTAGGGAAAGGACAACGGCACCGGGGGGGCTCCGGGGGGGCTCCGGCCCGGTTCCCGCGCTGCTCCGTGCCCCAAGTGCCCCCCCAGGCCCGGGCGGGGGTCTTTCCCCCCCCCCTCCACTCCCAGCCTGGGAGGACAATGGCCCCTGGGTTAATTACAGCGAGCTTTAATTAGCGGCGGGCGGCGGGGAGGTGGCACTGAGGTGGTGGCATCGGGGACAGCCCCTCCTGGTTGAGAGGGGACTCTGGGGTGCCACCAGGTCACCGTCCAAGTGTCACCTCCCCGCTGAGGTGGGGATGAGCTCAGACACCCCCAACCCCGGAGGGGGACAGTGACAGTGACAGTGACAGTGCCAGTGCCAGGCGGGAGGGGACACGGACCTCCCGGAGATGTCAGTTTTATTAATGGCACCACGGGGACAGGGAGGGGACAGGGACAGGGACAGGGGGTACAAAACGCGTCCGGGGGCACGGGCGGCTCCCCCAGCCCGGCCGCAGCCTCGCCCCCTCCACGGGGCTCCGGCCGGTTTGGTTACGGGGCGCGGGGGTTAATGGGGGGACAGGAGGGGACAAAGGGGACAAAGGGGCGGGGGCCACCCTGCGACGTCATTTGGGGTCGGTCGCGGGGAGAGACGAGAAAACGGCCAGAAAAGGAGCGAAATTGGGGGCACAGAAACCCCCCCGAGTTCGGGGAGGGGACACGCGGCGGGGACACGGCCCCGCGGGGACCCCGCAGGTCCCCGGGGAGGGGGGACCGACCCCAAATCCGCCGGGATTTTGTCTTCCGAAAGAGAAATTCCGCCCGGGGCTGGGCAGGGAGCGACCGTGGGGGGGCCGGGGGGGACCCGCGGTTGTCCCCAGCGCTGTCCTCAAGGCCGGGGGACCCGAGGCGAGGACCACACCCCGCTCCTCGCCGGGTCCCGAGCCCGGAGGGGCCGCGGCCGGGGCCGGGGGGGCGGTCAGGAGCCCCCCGAGTTGGGTTTGATGATGCTCAGCAGGGCGCTCTTGAGGCTGCCCCGGCTCGGGGAGCGGGCGGCGGGCGGGGGCGCGGCCTGGGGCTCCCCCCGCAGCTCCATCTCGATGGTCATGATGACTTTGGGGGGCCGGGAGTCCCCCTCGGCCCCGGCCGCCCCCGGGGGTCCCTCCCTGCCCGCTAACCGCTATTTCCTATCCTTGCGCGAGTCGCCCTTGGCTTTCTTGGCGCTGCGGCCGTGGTCCAGCATGGCGTAGAGCACGGGAGCCTGCGGGGACAGGGGGGCTTCACCCGCCGCCCCCGGGGGGTCTAGGGACCGGGGGGAGCGGGGGGACAGCCCGCCGAGCCCCCCGCCCCGCTCGGCGCTCACCTGCCGGCTGCGCTTGGAGCCGTCCTTGCCCGAGCGCTGCAGCTTCCCCTTCTCCATGGCGCTGGGGTGGGGGGGAACGGAAAGAGGGGCTGGGGGCGGCGGGACTGCCCCCCCGGGACCCCCGGTGTGGGGGAAAGAGGGGCTGGGGGCGGCGGGACTGCCCCCCCGGGACCCCCGGTGTGGGGGAAAGAGGGGCTGGGGGCGGCGGGACTGCCCCCCCGGGACCCCCGGTGTGGGGGAAAGAGGGGCTGGGGACGGCGGGACCGCATCCCCGGTGGTCCCGGTTTGGGGAGGGGTCGCGGTTTGAGGGAGGAGTCGCGGTTTGGGGAGGGTCCCGGTTTGGGGAGGGGTCCCAGTTTGGGGACAGTCCCGATTTGGGGAGGGGTCGTGGCTCGGTGCAGCGGAATTGCAGCCCCCGGTGATCCCGATTTGAGGAGGGGGTCCCGATTTGGGGACGGTCCCGGTGTGGGGGAGGATCCCGGTTTGGGGAGGGGTCCCGATTTCGGTGAGGGTCCCGGTTTGGGGAGGGGTCGCGGTTTGGGGGAGGGTCCCGTTTGGGGAGGGGTCCCGATGTGGGGCCAGTCCTGGTTTGGGGGAGGGGTCCCGGTTTGGGGAAGGGGTCCCGGTTTGGGGAGAGGTCCCGGTTTGGGGGAGGGTCCCGGTTTGGGGAGGGGTCCCGATTTGGGGAGGGGTCCCGCTCACCTCAGCCGCCGCTGCAGAGCCGCCTGGCGCCGCCGCCAGCAGTAGCGCGTGCCGTAGGCCAGGGCCACCAGCACGGCCACCAGGAGCAGCGCCCCGCCGATGACAGAGCCCAGCACGACACCGTAGCGGGGTGGCACTGCGGGGACAGTGGCACCGTGTCACCCCCACCAGTAGAGATCAGGGAGGTGACACCGGCCCCGTGTCACTGCCACCAGCGGAGGTGACAGCAGAGCCGTGTCACCGCCACCAGTGGGGTGATCAGGGAGGTGACACCGGGCCCGTGTCACTCCATCAGCTGGGATCAGGGAGGTGACACCAGGCCAGTGTCACCTCCAGCAGTGCAAGTGCCACCAGCGCCGTGTCCCCGCCAGCAGCAGGCTCTGGAAGGTGACAGCAGGGTCCGGGAGGTGACACCAGCCCCGTGTCATCCCCATCAGGGGGATCGGGGAGGTGACACCAGCCCGGTGTCCGTGCCACCAGCAGCCTCCGGGCGGTGCCAGCAGCCCGGTGTCCCCGCCCTGCCACCAGCAGGGTCGGGAGGTGACAACAGCCTGGTGTCACCGCCAGCAGCAGGGATCAGGGAGGTGACAGAGGGGTCTGGGAGGTGACACCAGCCCCGTGTCATCCCCATCAGGGGGATCGGGGAGGTGACACCAGCCCGGTGTCCGTGCCACCAGCAGCCTCCGGGCGGTGCCAGCAGCCCGGTGTCCCCGCCCTGCCACCAGCAGGGTCGGGAGGTGACAACAGCCTGGTGTCACCGCCAGCAGCAGGGATCAGGGAGGTGACAGAGGGGTCTGGACCGGGGGGCACTCCGGGGAGGGTGGCACTGCGGGGACAGTGGCACCGTGTCACCCCCCGGCAGTGGGGGGCACTGCGGGGACAGTGGCACTGCGGGGACAGTGGCACCGTGTCACCCCCACCAGCAGAGATCAGGGAGGTGACACCGGCCCCGTGTCACTGCCACCAGCGGAGGTGACAGCAGAGCCGTGTCACCGCCACCAGTGGGGTGATCAGGGAGGTGACACCGGGCCCGTGTCACTCCATCAGCTGGGATCAGGGAGGTGACACCAGGCCAGTGTCACCTCCAGCAGTGCAAGTGCCACCAGCGCCGTGTCCCCGCCAGCAGCAGGCTCTGGAAGGTGACAGCAGGGTCCGGGAGGTGACACCAGCCCCGTGTCATGTGCCACCAGCAGCCTCCGGGCGGTGCCAGCAGCCCGGTGTCCCCGCCCTGCCACCAGCAGGGTCGGGAGGTGACAACAGCCTGGTGTCACCGCCAGCAGCAGGGATCAGGGAGGTGACAGAGGGGTCTGGGAGGTGACACCAGCCCCGTGTCATCCCCATCAGGGGGATCGGGGAGGTGACACCAGCCCGGTGTCCCTGACAGCAGCGGGCTCCGGGAGGTGACAGCGAGCTCGGGGAGGTGACAGCGGGTCCGGGGAGGTGACAGCGGGCTCCGGGAGGTGACAGGGGTCCCGGCAGGTGACGGAGGGCTCTGGGAGGTGCCAGCGGCCCCGGGAGTTGCCAGCGGCCCCGGGAGGTGACAGCGGGCTCTGGGAGGTGACAGGGGGCTCTGAGAGGTGACAGCAGGTCCCGGGAGGTGACAGCGGGCTCTGGGAGGTGACAGCGGGCCCGGGGAGGTGCCAGCGGGCTCCGGGATGTGACAGGGGTCCCGGGAGGTGCCAGCGGCCCCGGGAGGTGACAGCGGGATCTGGGAGGTGACAGCGGCCCGGGGAGGTGCCAGCCGTGTCGCGCACCTTTCTCCAGCACGTAGAGCGTGACCTGCGAGGACTTGCCCACGATGTCGGGCGGGTTCTTGACGTCGCACGTGAAGGTGCCATTGTCGCTGGGCTCCAGGCTGTGGATGACGATGGAGCCGTCGCGGCGCCGCGGGTTCCCCGCCCACTCCATGCGCTCCTTGAATGTCCCCACGTCGTCGATGTAGGGCTGGCCCTTGGCGTAGTGGAAGATCTACGGCGGTGACAGCGACACCGCGGTCACAGCCGGCCGAGGGTGGGCGGTGACAGAGGGGACAGCGGTGGGAAGGGGGGTTGGAGGTGCTCGTGGTGTCCCCAAGGTGCCGCTGCGGGGGAGGGTGACACCGGCAGGGACGGGGCTGGTGGGCACTGGGACACGGGGACACTTCAGTGTCACCACGGTGTCACCCGCAGGGACGGAGCTGGTGGGTACTGGGACACGGGGACACTTCAGTGTCACCACAGTGTCACCTGCAGGGACGGAGCTGGTGGGCACTGGGACACGGGGACACTGCGGGGACACCCCGGTGCCACCACAGTGTGAGGGGACACGGCGTCACCTCAAGGGACGCTCTGTCCTGTGGGGCTGGCGCTGAGACCCAGCGGGCACTGGGGACACCTTGGGGACACCACAGTGCCACCACAGGGCGAGGGGACACCGCTGGAGCTGGAACCCAAGGGGCGACAGGGCTGGGGACACCTTGGGGACGCCCCAGTGCCACCACCGTGTCACCCTCAGTGCAGGCTCTGTCGCGCTGCCGCTGGGACGAGGCGACACCGGGGCTGGGGGCGCGGCGGGGACAGGACGGGGACACTGGGGACGGCTTGGGGACACCGCGGGGACAATGGGGACACTGACGGAGATGCTGTCGCGGGAGCCGTCGGCCTGGAAGTGCCAGGTGATGGAAATGTCCTCCGAGATCCACTCGCTGGACCAGAAGCTGCAGGACAGGGTGACACGCGAGCCCACGGTGCCATAGAGCTCGCGCGGCGTGTACACGTGGATTGGGGACACCGGCGACACTCCTGGCGACACAGAGCCGTCAGCGCTGTCCCCGAGCTGCCACCAAAGGCGAGGCTTGCGAGGGGACAGCGGTGGCGCTGCTGTCCCCAGGGGTGGCACGGAGGGGACAGTGTCCCGGTGCCCGGTGACACGGGCGGGGCTGGCGCCCAGCGGCCGGGGGAGGTGACAATGGGACACTCTGTGCGCGCCGGTGACACCAGCAGGGCTGGGTGTGGCACCTCCGCCCCTGTCCCCAAGGAGGTGACAGCTCTGGGACCCTCCTTGCAGCCACCCAGAGCCCCTCCCCCGTCCTGTCCCCAAGGAGGTGACAAGTGCCACAGCTCGGTGACACCATCAGGGCTGGGTGTGGCACCCCCTCAATCTGTCCCCAGGGAGGTGACAACGACCAGGACTGTCCCGACAGCCACCTGCACCTGTCCCCAGGTTGGTGACAGCTCTGGGACCCTCCTGGCTGCCACCCGCCCGCGTCCCCACCGGTGCTCGGAGCTGGGGCAGCGCGGGGGGGTTTGGGGGGAAAAGCTGCACAGAGAGGATTGCTCGGGGGGATAACGGGATCGATAACGGGATCGATAATCGATCACCGGTTATCGATCCCAGCACCGATCCCAGTACCGATATCAATACCGATATCAGTACCGATCACCGCTTATCGATCACCGGTTATCGGTCCCAGTACCGATCTCAGTACCGATCCCAGTACCGATACCAGTACCGATATCAATACCGATATCAGTACCGATCGCCGGTTATCGATCACCGGTTATCGATCCCAGTACCGATATCAATACCGATATCAGTACCGATCGCCGGTTATCGATCACCGGTTATCGATCCCAGCACCGATCCCAGTACCGATATCAATACCGATACCAGTACCGATCACCGCTTATCGATCCCCGGTTATCGATCCCAGCACCGATCCCGCCCGGGACCGGAAGTGCGTCACGGCCACTTCCGGCGCGGCGGCTCCAAGATGGCGGCGCTGGCTCTGAGGTGACTCCGCGGGCCCGGGACAGGCCCGGGACAGGCGGGGGGACCCTGGGGACACCGGGAGGGCACTGCGGGGACAGCGGGGGCGGCCTGAGGCGATTTCTCCGTTCCGACGCGGGACCCGCGGGGCTGGGCCAGCCCCGAACCGCAGCGCGTCCCCTCCGTGTCCCTTCCGTGTCCCCTCGGTGTCCCCTCAGTGTCACCCCCGTGTCACCCTCTGTGTTCCATTATTTTCTAATTTTTTCCCCGTTTTTTCTCATTTTTTCCCATTTTTTCCTCATTTTTTCCCCATTTTTTCTCTCTTTCCCAGGGGTTTGGGGCGGCGCTGCCTCCTCCACCCTCTGTGTTCCATCATTTCTCGTTTTTTCTCATTTTTTTCCTATTTTTTTCTAATTTTTTTCCCCATTTTTTCTCTCTTTCCCAGGGGTTTGGGGCGGCGCTGCCTCCTGGCCCGGCTGGGGCCCGGCCCCGCCCTGCACCAGTGAGGGACTGTCTCTCTTTTCCAGGGGTTTGGGGCGGCGCTGCCTCCTGGCCCGGCTGGGGCCCGGCCCCGCCCTGCACCAGTGAGGGACTGGGATGGACTGGGATGGACTGGGATAAACTGGGATGGACTGGGGGGGACTGGGATAAACTGGGATGGACTGGGATGGACTGGGATGGACTGGGATGGACTGGGATGGACTGGGATAAACTGGGATGGACTGGGATGGACTGAGATAAACTGGGATTAACTGGGATGGGACTGGGATGGGAGTGGGAATGGACTGTGATGGGACTGGGATGGACTGGGACTGGGATGGACTGGGCTGGGATTTGGGGGCTTTGGGGGGGGGTTTGTGAGTTTTCAAGGAGTTGTTTTGGGGTTTAGGGTTTTTGGGGTGGGTTTAGAAAACTTCCCCAAAAACATACAGGAAACCCCAAAACTGCCCCAAAAACACCCCAGAACAGACAGAGAACCCTGAAACCAGCCAGGTAACCCCAAAATCTCCACAAAATCACCCAAAATTCCCCCAAAACAGCCAGAGAACCCCAAAATCACCCCCAAACCACCCTAAACCCATTCAACCTGCCCCTAAAACAGCCTTAATCACCCCAAAACCATCCCAAATCACCCCAAAAACTGCCCAAACCACTCCAAAACTACCCCAAAATAGTCCAAACCACCCTGAAAACAGCCAGGCAACCCCAAAATCCCCCTAGAGACTCCCCAAAGCAGCCCAGGAACCCCAAATTCACCCCAAATTCACCCGGGCACCCCAAAATCAGCCCAAAAATCACCCCTGGGAACCCCGAATTCACTCCAGGCCACCTCAAAATCCCCCAAATTCACCCCAGGACCCCCCAGAATCCCCCAAATCCCGCTGCCCTGGGTTTTGGGGTGACCCCAGCCCCGTTTCTGTTGCAGGTGGTCTCTGCCCATGGCCATGTCCATCAGCCACCGCGGCACCGGCGTCGCCCTCAGCCTGGGTGGGTGGCACTGGGGACACTGGGGACACCCTGGGGACACCCTGGGGACACCCCTGCGTTCCCACAGCTGGGGGGTTTGCTGGCAATCCTCTGCTCTGCCTTCTTCAGCCCCACAAAATTCCTTAAAATCCCCCCAAAATCCCCCCAAAATCCCTCCCAAATCCCTCCCAAATTCCCCTTAAAATTCCCCCCAAATCCCTCCCAAATTCCCCCCAAAATCTCCCCCAAATCCCTCCCAAATTCCCCTTAAAATTCCCCCAAAATCCCTCCCAAATTACCCCCAAAATCCCCCCCCAAAATTCCCCCATCCTGTTTCTCCACCCAGATTTCCCATCCCCATTTTTTCCATCCCAATTTTCCCATCCCCGTTTTTTCCATCCCAATTTTCCATCCCCATTTTTTCCATCCCAATTTTCCATCCCCATTTTTTCCATCCCAATTTTCCATCCCCATTTTTTCCATCCCAATTTTCCATCCCCATTTTTTCCATCCCAATTTTCCATCCCCATTTTTTCCATCCCAATTTTCCATCCCCATTTTTTCCATCCCAATTTTCCATCCCCATTTTTTCCATCCCAATTTTCCATCCCCATTTTTTCCATCCCAATTTTCCATCCCCATTTTTTCCATCCCAATTTTCCATCCCCATTTTTTCCATCCCAATTTTCCATCCCCATTTTTTCCATCCCAATTTTCCATCCCCATTTTTTCCATCCCAATTTTCCATCCCCATTTTTTCCATCCCAATTTTCCATCCCCATTTTTTCCATCCCAATTTTCCATCCCCATTTTTTCCATCCCAATTTTCCATCCCCATTTTTTCCATCCCAATTTTCCATCCCCATTTTTTCCATCCCAATTTTCCATCCCCATTTTTTCCATCCCAATTTTCCATCCCCATTTTTTCCATCCCAATTTTCCATCCCCATTTTTTCCATCCCAATTTTCCATCCCCATTTTTTCCATCCCAATTTTCCATCCCCATTTTTTCCATCCCAATTTTCCATCCCCATTTTTTCCATCCCAATTTTCCATCCCCATTTTTTCCATCCCAATTTTCCATCCCCATTTTTTCCATCCCAATTTTCCATCCCCATTTTTTCCATCCCAATTTTCCATCCCCATTTTTTCCATCCCAATTTTCCATCCCCATTTTTTCCATCCCAATTTTCCATCCCCATTTTTTCCATCCCAATTTTCCATCCCCATTTTTTCCATCCCAATTTTCCATCCCCATTTTTTCCATCCCAATTTTCCATCCCCATTTTTTCCATCCCAATTTTCCATCCCCATTTTTTCCATCCCAATTTTCCATCCCCATTTTTTCCATCCCAATTTTCCATCCCCATTTTTTCCATCCCAATTTTCCATCCCCATTTTTTCCATCCCAATTTTCCATCCCCATTTTTTCCATCCCAATTTTCCATCCCCATTTTTTCCATCCCAATTTTCCATCCCCATTTTTTCCATCCCAATTTTCCATCCCCATTTTTTCCATCCCAATTTTCCATCCCCATTTTTTCCATCCCAATTTTCCATCCCCATTTTTTCCATCCCAATTTTCCATCCCCATTTTTTCCATCCCAATTTTCCATCCCCATTTTTTCCATCCCAATTTTCCATCCCCATTTTTTCCATCCCAATTTTCCATCCCCATTTTTTCCATCCCAATTTTCCATCCCCATTTTTTCCATCCCAATTTTCCATCCCCATTTTTTCCATCCCAATTTTCCATCCCCATTTTTTCCATCCCAATTTTCCATCCCCATCCCGTTTCTGTTGCAGGTGGTCTCTGCCCATGGCCATGTCCATCAGCCACCGCGGCACCGGCGTCGCCCTCAGCCTGGGTGGGTGGCACTGGGGACACTGGGGACACCCTGGGGACACCCTGGGGACACCCCTGCGTTCCCACAGCTGGGGGGTTTGCTGGCAATCCTCTGCTCTGCCTTCTTCAGCCCCACAAAATTCCTTAAAATCCCCCCAAAATCCCCCCAAAATTCCTCCCAAATTCCCCTTAAAATTCTCCCCAAATCCCTCCCAAATTCCCCCCAAAATCTCCCCCAAATCCCTCCCAAATTCCCCTTAAAATTCCCCCCAAATCCCTCCCAAATTCCCCCCA